AAAAAAAAAAAAAAAAAAAAAAAAAAATTTTTTATATTAAAAAGAAAAAAAAAACTTGTTTAATAAGTGATCAACACAACAATTGAGATAAGAACATTGTAAAACTTTAATCTTTCCTTCTTATCTTTGTTGAAATCATTTTGTTTCCCCAAATTTTTTTTAATAAATTTGGGTAGAAATATTGTCTCCGCATTCTCCGAAATTATAAATAACTTAAAAATCTCAACCTCACCTTGTTTCGTATTATAATTATAACAAAATTAGTATATTCATGTATTTCCCCTAATTGAAAAAAAAATTTTCTTCTTTTCTTTATTTTTTTTTATTATGTGAGACATATTTAATGAACGTTTTATAATGTAACAATAATGTAAGGCCATAATGGCTCAACTGGCTCAATTGGACGAAATGAAAATTTGAAACATAATTAGCCAACTTGTGACTGTTTAATACGATTATGGCTAGTGTTTAATTCCTGGATTTGAAATAATCTTTGTTCATTCATTCATAAGTAGAATCAGCCAAATCAACAGATGGATAAAATACGTGGATATTTTTTTGCGTGTTTTTTTTATTTATTTATTATTTATTGTGATCTCAAAGAAAATAATAATAATAATAATTATTATTATTATACAATTAAATAATTAACGTAAATAAATGTCAAAAATAAGGACCTAATTAGTATTATGAGAAGTTTAGTTACACCAGTTTTGATTCTTTTGGGAGTGTAACAATGTAACAAACATATTTATCTTTAATGTCACAATATCGCGTTTTATATCAACGAATAAGGAATTTCTTCGGTATTATTTTTTTTTTTTTTGTAATATTATTTACTAAATTTACCTGAATAAGAAAAAAAAAAAAATTACCCGTTAATAATCAAGTTATTTAATTTGGAAACATGAGAGTTTTAAATATTCTTATTTAATTCCAAAAAAAATTCTTAATTGTTTGAAAAATATAAAAGAAAAATATTTTATTTATTTTATTTTTTTCTTTCTTCGATTATTTGATGATGATTGATATTATTCGATGAAAAAATCGGAATTTCGTTCGGAATTATTCATATAATCATGAAGATAATTAAATTTCCTGATTGGTCGCTATAGACCGTATAAAAATTTATTAGATTTTATTTTAGGCAATTTTTGGTAATATTATTAAATTCCCGATTTAGTTTAAAAAAAATTAATAGTCTAGTCGCTCTTCTCCCTATGGTCAGATTTTATTTATTATTATTATTTTTTTTTTTATGTATTTTTGAATTGGGACAAAGATGGAAAACATCAAACAACTGTTGAGAAACAAAGATCTTCATAACCGATCAAAAAATCCATCAATTCGTTCGGGTCATTTCTCGAATATTTCATTGTGTAATGTAATACGGGCTGAATTTTTTTTTGTGCATGGGATGCAGAATTCCCGGGTTCAATAAATAACAATAAATAATACATTAATCAAAACTACATTATATTGAAATCGTTTGATAACACCATCAAGAATTTTTGATCCCGATGAATAATCAAATCCCACCCCCCTCATTCTTGTGGCACCAATACTAGAAAATATAAATTTTTTTTTTTTTTTCGTATTATAATAAATATGATTGTTATTTTGGATTTGATGATTCTTTTTAAATTTTTAATTTTTTTTTTTTTTTTCCTGAACTTTAATATTTAAATTTGAATAAGGATTTGTTATATTTATTATCATGTAACAATATTATTACTAAAAATTGAATTTCACAGATCTCAATTTTTATCGATTTCGGTACGATAAGAAAAAAAAAAATGAATTTGATTTAAAAAAAAAAAAAATTTGTTTATTTTGATCGTCAAAACAAATTGAAAAAACCTTGTCCTAGACGATAATAAGAAAAACATTATACTGTATAAACGAATGAAATTAGTATATTTTTATGTAAATAAAAAATAACTATCATTCATTGACGCCAAGCTAAGCTAAGCCACACCCCTGCATACATTGAATATGACGAAAGATTTCCTAATTTTTTTGGTTGAATTAATTAACCGGAATCAGTTTAGAGTTAAAAAAAAAAATTATGTGGTTGAATATGATGAAATGATTAAATGATCGTGAAATAATATGCATGAATAAATATTATTTGACAGTTTTGAATAAAAAAAAAAAGATTTCATTGTACAGGGGTACATGGGGGGGAGATACGGAATAATCGTGATTTCTTATTAAAATCATGTAATTTACGTAATTTGCGTAATTTGTGAATAATCATATGTTATTCAAAACTAAAAATCTTTTGAAGGATATATATAAAAACGGCTGAAACTTTAACCATTAGTTTGCAACAATAGTATTATTTCATTTTATAATCATTTAAAATTAACTTAGATTTTTTCGATAATTTATAATTTGATAAACACCTAAAAAAAAACCTATATTTAGAATTTGGGCATAGTTTGCATAATTTGCATATGTGCAAATGTTTATGCGAACCATTTGGTATTACAAAATACATAGCATAATTTTTTCAAAATGGGAAATATTGTTTATTAAAGTTATGCCAGTCTCTAAGCAAATAGTTGCAATACGCATAATATCACGCATATTTATTTTAAAACAATTCTGTAATATTTTATTTATTAGGACACCGGGTAATTTAGGATTTCTAAAATTATTCATAATTACCTGTATAATAAGTATCGAACTTTCAATAGAAAGAAAGTTTGTTATTAAATATTTAAAAATTAAAACCTGCATGAGTTTATAATATTTATTATGGTTTTACGACATCATATAAAAAAAGTAAAATTATAAAAAGAGTATTACGAATATCTTAATTCATCATATCATTTAGAACAATGTTAAATAACAATCGACCATATAAGTAAAAAAGAAAAGAACAATGAGAATGGGTTAAACTGTTACTTTTCTAATTTGTACTTTTTTAATGAACCGTTTAAATTTATTCTTGTCACATGTTCACATGTTATCCTTTTTAATAGATAGCATATTCTAAACGAATTTCCTTATTAGATTAAGATAAATTAGATATAAAATTATTGAACGAATTAAATTTCATCTAATTTTACTGGAAATTATAATCCACGTATCAATATGATGGTTCATTTAGGCATTAAATGTCACTCAATCATGTCACTTTTTTTGTGTACTTCTTTTTTAATGTGACGTAAAATTTTTTTTCTTTGTTCAATTTTTCGGAGATTTATTAAAAAAGTTTCTAACGTCATCAAATTACAAATTACGGTTCAAGTTACGCGCCAATCATTACAATTTATTCTTTATAAATTTTTTCCCTTATTTTTTTTTTTTTTATTATTTTTGTTCGAGATTACATCAATTAAAAATACAAAAAATACAAGGATAAAATTTTCTTTATTGATGCAATTCTATTATTAAAATTATTGTTCTCAAGAAAAAAAACATACATAATCTTGTTACAAAATTATCAGGTGTTTAATGTTTACTAATGTTTACTTAATAATAATAATGTATTTCTATCTTTGAAATTCATTTACCAATTTTTTTAGGTAAGACATTTTATAGTTTTTCTCAAATGAAGAAGGTTATTTTTTTTTAAACTTTTCGGAGTTTCAGAAAGAAAAAAGATTATGCATGTTTCAATATGTTGTTTCATCTAAAAAAAGATTTTTTTTTTTTAAATTTTTTTTAAAAAAAAAGAATAAAAGAATCATGATTCGAATTAAATAATAAAAATTCGAAAAAAAATATTATGTATGTAAATCCACCTTTTTTTAACTTGACCCCCGATGAACCTTAATATTTCTTAACAATTTATGTAACGGTAACTTATTTTAATTTTGTATTTTTCAATAAATTCGAATTAGGTTAATTATGTATCTTATGCACTAAGTTACTAGTAAAGTAAGCTGATATACGCAGTATAAGCAGATGTTTTAACTAAGTTTGTCATTCACCAATTGAGAGAGAAATTAAAACGATATATACATTTTTATTTTTTTTTTACCTCGCATTAAAAATTAACCGATTGGCTTCCGATTTTTTAAAACTTTTTTTAAAGTATCTTTTTTCGCACAGAAGTTTAAATTCGTTACAGTTAAGGTTTTAAAGCTGATCCTTTTTTTTGCAGGCGGAATGACGGATCCACAAAAGTCTCTAAAAAAAAAGAATATTATCGTTATGCTCTCATCAATGCAAGATAAGCGTAAAAATGTGGATGATTTTCCAGATCCTCACAACCGACCGCAAATACGCAAACATGAATAATTTCTATAAATATTGTAAGTTCCTTATAAACATAATAAAGAAAAACATAAATAATAAAATAAATAAAATACGTAATAGTACAAATGAATAAGGATTTTAAAGAGAAAAATACCTTCGATTTGTCAAAAATATAAATATAGTGCATTTCTTTTATTTGTACGTTAAAAAAAGACCTTTTTTTCTTATGGGAAGGGTAATGTTACGATTGGTTTTCATGAACTTAAATATTACGCAACCGCAGCAACATTGCATTAATATTATTCGACATTTTGATTGGTTCTTTTAAGGACCTTGACCAATAATCTTTACTTTTTAAGGAAATATTTTTTCTAATTTACATTGTGAAAATGAAAAAGGTTTATTACATATTTTCCCAAAAATATTTATAAAATTATCTCATGATATTTTACTCATCAAATAACAAAAAAAATTTTTAAGGGTTTTTCCTAAAAAAGATTAATGATTTACCAGCACATGGGATGATGGGAAAATAAAAAAAAAACATGCGACTTATTGATGAATTATAATTTATACTTATTTGGTAAACTAAGAATATCCCATTTTAACTCTTGTTTTTTTTTCTTTGTATTCCTAATTATTTATTTAATTAAAACGGTTAAATTAGAAAGTTTTATTAAATATTTTTTTTTTTTTATATTCTTTTGCTTATATTTTAGTAAAAATAATAAGGAACTAGTACAAAAATGTCGTTTAAAAATATTAAATTCTTTATTTGGTTTAAAACTTTTTTTTTTTTTTTATAATGTGTTTTGTTGTAATATTCATTCCCAGTTTCATATATCGATCGAAACATTTTTGAAATGTTTTGGTTTAGTTTTTTGAATATTCAGTGTTTTTTGTTTCATATGTTTCAGATATTAACATTTTAATAACATTCTATTACAATAAGGTGATTAATTTTTAAAACGCGAATTAAATTTGATGCATACAAACAATATTAGTAATAATGATTTCCGAGATTTTCCATTAAAAAAAAAAAAAAAAAAT